AATAATAAAAAATAATAATATTTAGTAAAATTTATTAAAAAAATTAAATTATTTCTCAGTTGATATTGAGAGCGGGCATAGTAAAATAGTTTTGGAGATGCTTAAGAACACAAAGCACTAAAGTTTTTAAAACCATATTTGGGATTTCAAACCTCACATAAACCTCTAAGTGGGCATTAAATAAATATAAAAATAAAGAAAAGATAGTAGGAAAGATTTAAATAATAATTTTTAATAAAATAAGTGGAGAACAAGTGGGACTCGTATAAAATAAACATATGAGATTTATTGTTATTGAATATTTGGAGTGTAGGAGTAAGTTTAAGGTTTTGGTGATAAGACACATTGAAAAATAAAAAAATGAAGTTTAAGAGGTTTTGTTGTTAAAGATTCTCTTATATAAAGGATTCCTATGCTTTATTGTGAGATAGTGGATTTTGAATAATATATGAATTGATATCGTATTTAGGTGTTCTTGAAATTGTGATCTCATTAATATCGTCTCATTCGTACGCTTTCTTACATCAGTTAGTATCAGAAGTCGGCACGAATAGACGAATCGACGGGCGTGACGCTACTATTGAGCATCTGGATCGACAAGCCACGGGCTTTGGCCGCCAGATTAATAAATTGTATCGTCTAGTTGAGGGTCTTTGAAGAGAAATCAAAAAAGTGATTCTTACAATCAACAACATAGTTGAAGATTTCCAGACGAACCGTGACTCCGACAACCGGGGCGTGCGCATCGGAGTTCGCAGAACGTGAAGGTCGTGGTTAGGCAGAGCGCCTCGTCGGAGATCTCCACAACCACCATCCGACGACGAAGACGGCGAGGAGACAATCTAAGAGGTGAATCCTTTCGGCGATTATTCACCCCGCACGTTACCCATTCGCTGCATACGACGGCCGTGACATGCGACGACGAGGCCCGATCTTCGTGGACGACGACAATCAATGCAACGACAGAGGAAGGAGCGAGGAGGCTGCCTTCATCGGTGGATATCGTGCCTGACGCAATTCGGGACTTGAACGTGATGGTGCCGGCTTCGCAGGGTACGGCCGGCAACGACGCTGTTGGGACATCGGGTGCAACACCACATACTTTGATGATGAACAATAGCTATTGGATTAGAACCTAGAGCACGACGTCTTCGCTGGAGATTGGAAGTAGCGGAGCATTGAACTACATCCGACAGACGTCACCGATGAGTCGCGATGGAATTTGGTGCCTTTTT